CCCATTAACCAGGAAAATCTCAACACGGCAAATGCCGACTAACTGGCCAGGGTATCGATGTGATTACTGTATCGGTCGCTTCTGTCCTTCGGTTCTCATAGATCTTCGACCCTACACGAACCCAGAGTCCAGTACCTGCCTCAACCGTAAGAAGCAAATAACTAAAATATTACGTCACTCAGGTCAAATTAATGCATACTGACAGGTACAGAATTGCATTCTGAATAGAATAACATTCGACAATTAACGATACTCGAAAAAGTCTGCACTCCAGCAGTTGCAAGCATGGAATAGTCGCCACGGGGCTGGCTACAGCACTACTGTGGGTTTGGTGCCCAAGCGGCTGTCTGTATACTTTCTACCTCACCTACTCTCATTAATCGCTGACGAATGTTTTAGTCCTGTTTAAGTTAAAGTTGTTTTTCTTTACAGTATATTTTTATGAGTTTTGAAAATGAAATAATATTGTAACAGTTAAATGTAGATGAATGTATGTTTCGAGTATGTATCTTAAAAGGCGATATAAATATAAAATATAGTATGGGTGTGCGCATGCGCTAAGGAAAGGAAGGAGAGAGGTAGATATAGCGCGAGGCAGATGGCGATGGTTGTTGCAGTGAAGGTATTGTACATATGAACCAATAAAATTATGGAAATTAACAGAACAAGGGTTGATTTTTGTTTTGAGTGTGTGCCATGAAATAGGCAGAAGAAAAGGCCTGTGACAAATATAAGTATTAATATTTGCGCATGGAACTGGAGAGCCGCACCTTGACATCAACAGAGCCGCATGCGGCTCGCGAGCCGCAGGTTGCCGACCCCTGACATACGGAGAACTGTTTAAGACAGGGGACGGCAACCTTTTGAGATGGAAGAACCAAAAGTTATCTAAAAAATTCCCAAATTTTTAAAGAGCCACTAACGTTTTAAGTGCACTTCGATTGTGGAAAGCAAGGAACTATTGCCACAAGGCTGGCCACAGCACAGTTGTGGGGCTACGCCAGATGTGAGTCAGCTGTCCATAGCAGCTCTAGCTAGTCTACTCCACTTATTCTCATTGTTTTTTATTTTGTTTATAGTTGTTTTTGTTTTTACAGTATAATTTTTTTTTTAGTTTTGAAAAAAATTTATAATTATTATGGAACTGGAGAGCCGCATAGTGACAATAAAAGAGCCGCATGCGGCTCGCGAGCCGGCCCATAGACTAGAGTTATTGTCTGGGCTAAGATGAAATATTACATAGGGATAAAGGTGGGTAACAGGTTAAATTTAGATATACACTAATAAGTTACAACTGCGGCGCAACTACAAAGTATATACTAGTATATATATATATATATATATATATATATATATATATATATATATATATATATATATATATATATATATATGCATATATATATATGCGTATATATATATATATATATATATATATATATATATATATATATATATATATAAATTATATAAAACTCAAAAGACGTTTTAGAATACTAGCTTATAATTTAACTTATTAGTAGGTAGAATCAAAACGTATGAATGTAAAATTTTGTATCAGATCATAGTGATATCAAAATACTGCAATTTAAATTCAGATTTTCAGAGATGAACTGTGATAACCAGATTAAATATGACATCTGGAAGACCTCGAAAGCCAAAATAATCTGGGTATGAGTAGATAATATTGGCAAGTTTATCATAATGTGAAGTAAAGATAGTGAAGATCATTTTGGAATCAAAGTTTGTAAGAATAGTATAAGCTATAAGTAGTAAGGAATAGTGACGAGTCTTATAATTTCAGAAAATTTTAGTATAGAATATATAGGAATGGTTACGGGTCTAACATTTCGGTGATATTTTTGGATACAATTTCGTAAGGATACTAGAGCGCAGTTTAGGATAAGAGTATATTATTATAGAAATAGTTACGTTTGTAAAATTTTCGGGGAATTTTAGGATAAACGTTTGTAAGGATAATATAGGCACATTTAGGATAAGAAAATAATACGTAGGAATGGTTAAGAATCTAAAAATTTCAGGAAATTTCAGATACAATTTTGTAAAGATTGTATAGACCCCTTTCGGATAAGAATAAATAGAACTGGTTAAGGTCTAGAAATTTCAGAAATTGTCATACCATAATACAACTGTAAGTTCTTATACACACTGCTATATGAATACAACAACTTTCATTTGTTTCTCCTCTCAAATACCTCCAACGATAGCATCCCCAGTTATGTACTGCCGAGCCGAGTGTGATTAATCTATCAAGGGGCGAAAGCTCGTTATCTGCATTAATAAATCGCGGTTATTTCCCTTGAAAAATTAATCGTATCCATCCGCCCCTGTCCGGGCTATGGGCGAGATAGACGATGGACGGGCAACTTAAAACATCGCGAGGAAAGATCAAATTCCCAGCACCTCGAATGTAGATTAGACCCTCCGCCTATCTCGTAAAAAGAATCTCAACGCTTTCCACCGCAGATGTAGGGTTTAAAGACAGGGGGGCGTAACGCGGGGTGTAAACATCTCGTCTAATGCTAAATCAATAGTAATCAGGGCTCTACTTAGGGGGCTTCAAATTTAGTAGCTTTTAAGCCATTTGTAGGACAAATGTAGCAGGCGATAGTTGAGAGGGAGTCAGGGCAGGAGGTTTTTTTTTTCTTTTCTTGCTGCGAAGGACAAGGAGAGAGTGGAGTTATCGCCCTTAAGTGTAGGCTAGATAAGAGGGTTGACGAAATAAATTTATAATCTCCCTTTTCTTTAGGCATTTTTTAAAGTTATAACCCCACCTAAATACCCAAACAAGCTATTATTAGTAATTGTATTGCTCGTGTTATACATAATTGAAATCTTCTAAATGCTCAGTTAACTATTCTTACGCTCTATATTTTTTTGTTGAAATATGGTATTAGAGAAGTGTTGCTAAAGTACAAATAAAGGTCGATAATACTTTTTTTATAAATATACATACATATATGGCCATATATATGAGTGTGTAAGTTTAACACACATACACACACACACATAAATATATATATATATATATATATATATATATATATATATATATATATATATATATATATATATATATATATATATATATATAGGTAGATACACAGATAGATTGAGTGGATGGATGGGTTTTTCGATTGTTGATAGACAGACTGTCAGACGGACAGAGAGACAGATGGACAGAGAGACAGACAGACAGACAGACCGACAGAAGACAGATAGATAGACGAAACCGCATATACAAAGCAGTTAAAACAGTAGAGTATCAATCTTGTGGCTGTAGATTGGTAAGAATTCATTGCTTTGTTCTAATGAACTTTGTGCCATTAGGATCGGATCAGTTGGTTAATGGGATATCCGGTCAGAGGAAATTGGGGGCGACCAGCAGGTCAGGTGGACGATGAATGATGAGACGTGCTAGGCGCAGGGGGGGGGGGGGTGGTAAAGGGGGGGGGGGGGGGGGGTGCGATAAAATCATTCTGACAACCCCGGATAGAGCAGTACTTTGAAGTATGAGTAAAAAGTAAGACATACGTGATAAAATTGTAAAACTAATGTAGTAATTGGAAGTTAATGCTAATTCACATTCAATGCTAGTCAAAATGATGGGGGAAAATATATATTTATGTATATATATATATATATATATATATATATATATATATATATATATATATATATATATATATATATATGTATGTATATATATGTATGTATATATATATATGTATGTATATATATATGTATGTATATATATATATATGTATATATGTATATATGTATATGTATATATGTATATATGTATATGTATATGTATATATATATATATGTATATATAGATATATATATATATATATATATATATGAGAGAGAGAGAGAGAAAGAGAGAGAGAGACCATAAAAAATATGTTTTTAAATAAACCAATTAATTGTTTTAATCAAAGGCGTTTATGTATGGACTTGGACGAGAAAACCTTTAGGTCAAGATGACCAGAATATGGTCAATAGAATGGAAATTAGTGCACTGAGCAGACAGATGACACAAAGAGTGGAACATCAAAGAGGGAGTACCGCTGTATGCTTGCTTATAATTAAGCTAAGCTACTGGTGTGTGGTAAAGTAGGACGGGTAAAGTAGGACACACACCTAGCTAGACAGACAGGTAAACTAGGACACACACCTATCTAGACAGACAGGTAACGTAGGACACACACCTAGCTAGACAGACAGGTAAAGTAGGACACACACCTAGCTAGACAGACAGGTAAAGTAGGACACACACCTAGCTAGACAGACAGGTAACGTAGGACACACACCTTGCTAGACAGACAGGTAAAATTGGGCAACCACCTGCAGGTAAACAAAGTCACACACTTAGTCAGACACACAGGTAAACAAAAGCAACCACCTACAGCTGGAGAGACAGGTAAAAAAAAAACGTCTCATTCAACATCGGTAATTAGTAAAAAAAAAACTTTAATTATTAATTAAATCTCATATCATATGTATATCGTATGCGTGGCATTCAGCACACTCTGTGTAGCTTAGTAGCAAATGGTAACACTATGTTGCAATAGAATACTTCGTTACACTGTAACTGAATACCAAAGTCCAAAGTATACTATACCCCAAATAAACATGCATCACTACATCATACGTGCAATCAATACGTAGATTTCCTTGGATCTGACATATTAAGACAGCAATGAGTACATTTCATGGTGTGTCTTACGCTAGGGTAAGGAGTCAAGCATAGACACACATACGAGAAATGTCAAAAAATATCATAAAGAACACAGTACTAGTGTGTACAGTAACATACCATAGACTTGAATAGTGTACATTAACATATATTACACAATTGCAACATGCACAATGTGGTAACAATAGAATAGTGGAAAAAATAACACTACGTATATACTCACCAAGAAGCACACAAACACAATGTGTATACACTAACAAGGACAATGTGTACTCACTATTCGAAGACCATGTACAACATCATGTCTGAACTGTAGGTCTCCAACAGCTCGACTATGTGGGGGTGTTTCAACATGTGGCATATTGTGGCTTCTCTCTTGAGATCTGTGGACAAATACAGAAGTTTTAACATGTAGCATATTGTTGCTTCTCTCTTTAGATCTGTGGACAAATACAGAATTTCAACATGTGGCATATTGTGGCATATTGCGGCTTATCGCTTTTGATATGTGTACAAATACAGAATTTCAACATCTGGCATATTGTGGCTTCTCGCTTTAGATCTGTGGACATACATAAGACAAGACGATAGGTTCAATATGTATGGCTTCTATCCTTGAAGTACATACACAATTACAAGAAACTAGATTTGAACATATGGTTTATCGCTTTAGATATGTTGACAAATACAAGGCAGGAGTTTCAACATGTGGCATATTGTGGCTTCTCGCTTGGGATCTGTGTACAAATACAAACAGTAGTTTCAAGATGAATGGTTTCTTTCAATTTACCTCTATGCAGAAATAGAAGAGAATAGATTTAACACGTATGGCTTCTCGCTTAAAGTCTAATGCAGTCATCATAACAAAAGACGAATCATCTCACAACAAATCTACCTTGAATATCACCAACCAGAAAGTTCAGGAATACTAGAAATCTGGGTCTTATAACATCCACAAACTATTTTGTTGTCTTGCGAGGTTATGCTAGCTAGTTTTAGAATTTTCAAATATTGCAATTATAATCGATACTAAAGGAATCAGCTGTAAAACTGCAGAATGCACTTGCTTCTAAACAAATCAAAGCCACCTTTTATCTTATGTATTAATGGTTTTTTTTTTTTTGTTTGTTGTTTTTTTGTTGTTTTTTTTTTTTTTTGCCAGATGTAAGCGTACACTTAAATAGTGCAAAATTGTATTATTATATTTTAAACGAAAATATCAAAAAGATCCAGTCCTGCTTTATTGAGAAGTCCACTCATTGACTCCGTCTTCCACCACCCATCTGTGATTTATTTGCGCCAGTTCTGTTTAATCATTTACTACAGTAATTAGTTCTTTTCTATCAGGGGCTTCACAAAATAGAAAAAAAAACATCCCAAAAGATACAATCAAGTAGGTGGCGTCCCTCTAGTGTTAACTTAATCCACTGGGTCGGATGTTGATTAGACCGGCGTCCATCTTGCGCCAGAGCCCGCGCATCGATCAGCTTAATGACCAGAACTGGTGCTAGACTGACCATTAGCGCTATCTGGGCCCGGTTGGGATTCAATCAACTTCAGTCCAAAACTGACCGCAGCCCGACTGGTCAAGTGAGACGGCACTCAATGGGACTGCTCAAGAGGCACTGGTCAGTCTGATTAGTGCTTTCAGTGACTGGTCAAGCGTGGGCTCTTTAAGAAAATAGACATGGCGCTAGGGAGGGATCTTAAAGTTCGGATCAAATTGACCCTTTATATAATCGACTGTGCGTAGATGATTGAATAACATTCACTTCAATAATTTCAACTTCACGTCAGTACTTCGTATTCATTGCGTTTCTTAAAAATATATATATGTATATTTAAAGATCTTTCCTATGTCTCGAGTGGATAATTATGACTAGTAAAAAGGCAGTGACGGGGGAATTTGAGAAAACTTCATCATGTCTGTACAGGAGTGATTCGAGTCTTAGCCATGACTTTTTACTTTCTCGTATGCAGAGCATAGAGGAAGTATTGTAATCGTGCACAAAAATCACATTAAATGTTGACAGTTTTCACCGTTTTACTTCACAGTACTTCATCATATTCGGAGTAAAAGGAACTTATTTTTAATCGGAAATTTCTAAATCCAGATTTATCAAAATTTAATCCAACTATCAGCCCCTATAACCTTGATCAACCATCAACCCCTAAAACTCCATTAACCAATTCCAATATCCACACCTCCATCCATATCAATTATCCATACTAAAAAAATCGCTTAACAAGTCTCTACTTTTGAGCTTTCACCATTCAAGGATGTCCTACTCTTCACCACGAGTTTTTAAAAAGTTGAAGCTAAACTGAAATGTAAACAGCGGTTTGTATAGACTAAAGACCAGTGTTTCTTCCAGACTTTTTTCTCCGGGGGGGGGGGGGGGGGGCACTTGAAATTTTCGGGGGGGGGGGGGCGGTTGACTTTCTTCGGGGGGTCGGACACTGTTAAAAGTATATATTTTCTATATAAATTATATAAATTTCATTTCGTTTGGGGGGGGGGGGGGGCAGTAAAAAATTTTCGGGGTGGGGGGGGGGGGGGCTTAGCCCCCCCCCCCCCCCCCCCCGAAGAGATGCCTGGAAGAAACTCTGCTGAAGACTAATAATAATATTAACTTGTCACATGTAGATCAGTAATTGATAGAAGAAACGGTCACGTGATCATCCCTGCATAGGTAACGAGGTGAAATTCCAAACAAAGTCGCTATGAATAGATATGTGATACGCGCATCTAATATTTCAAGGTCATCTTGGGATGGAGACAACATATCTAAAGGTCATCTGTGAAGGTCATGAGATTGTGGCCACATCAGCACACTTCAGCCCTGGTAAATAAAAATCAGATGACCTTGGCTATAAATCAGACAAGGTCAAAAAATAATGCAACCATAGCAAAATAAATGTCAAGGTCACCCAAAACATTCCAATGACCCTGTCCATATTTCAAACAAGGTCACCAATAACAGTCAAGTGTCCCTTGACATCCGTCTGACAAGGTCAAATATAAACCGAGCCTGGCCACGTAAACGACAAGGTCGCCAATAACAGTCTCGTGACCTTGGCCACACATCACTCAAGGTCAAACGGGAATCGACGTTAGACTACGTATCTAACAAGTAGATCTAAAACCCAAGAAGACTGACGGCTTTAGGATACACCATCCTAAAAAAAAAAGTCAAGAATTTTTTTTTTTTTTTTTTACTTCTAGGAGGTTTGGTCTCTGGGCAGAAGAAACGGCTGATTGATTTTTCCGAAACCATCGATTACATTAGAGGCGCGCGCGGCATTACGGAGCTACATTATGTGGGCTAAGGGTATTGGGGGTGGGGATGGGAAGTCGCTGTTGTAGACGAGTACTTAATTTTTTTTTATCGGACTAGAAATGTGGTTTAACATGGAAGGTAGCACCTAAACTGGTTTAATTAACAGACTAAGTGAGTTAGTAAAACTGTTTAAGGGAATGGAAAGTTAAGATGGGAGGGAAGGGGGGGGGGGGAAGGTTGTTGAGAATTATGTTTAAGTTACCAGTAACATATTCTAAATACTTGTAACTTGTCAAGTATATTTGTTAATCACACTTGTGTGTAAAACTTTAAACTGTTAAAATTATTGTTACATTAAAAGGTGCAATGAGTTGAAATCAGTATTAGGAGTGTGCATTTCAATATTACTCAGATGTGTGCTCACATACACACCCACATCCACCACCCCGATATATATATATATATATATATATATATATATATATATATATATATATATATATATATATATATCGGTCCAGTCGATGCAAGACACAAAACAGTTTACAAAGAATATAATCCTCCTAGTTGTACATGTAGTTGTTTGCACTCAATGACACGGGTTGAGAAACAAGTCCAACATAATAGCACCTCAGACTAATTTGTCACTTTAAAGTCGACGCCAACGATTTTTTTTTGTCTTCTTTAGAATTTATTTTAACCCAAGTCAGAACTTTAAAAAAAAACGAGAAAAAAAAAATAGCCGAGTCGTGTCGCCTGAGTACAGACATGAAAACACAATCTAATCACTTGTGTCTGATTCTTCAATCCACCGGGGTCTTGATCTATCTACGAGGGCATGACATTCACACAATCTGACAAGATACATTTTTATTTACTTATCTAAATGTAAATACTTTATTTTATTTTTCAATTTTACTGGCCCCTGTGTGACTGTTGAGCTAATGGACCCCAAGGGTCGTGTCTATGTACAGTGAACTCTGGGTAATGCATAATGGCTTTCTTATTTTAAGATGTTGTGTTGTTATACAGTTTTAAAGCTGTATAGCGAAACCAAGTTAGCAACATACACATATAGTGTGTACTTGTGTATGTAAAAAAAAATTGTATGACGATAAAAAAAACCAAATTGTCTCAACATGGTGTCTTCATCAGAAATAAAAAAGCAGAATTTTGCAGAAAGGAAAGCTTTAAGTTGTTTTTTAATTATTATTTTACCAGCCAGTTTAAAGATAAAAAATTATCAATATGAAAAATGTATTTTTACTTATTTTATCTGAACCGAGATGGTACTCATGGGAAACTTTTGTTTTATTAACTAACATTAAATCACAACCACAGACACTAAAGCGTCAGTATCAACTGAAGATTATATTTTACTCCATCAATAAACAATTATGAATTTGCCAAAATAAAACTAGTTTATAGCCTGCTGAAACAAAAACCACTTTGGAAAATTGAAGAATTAAATTTAGAATTATTTTATTTCGAATACCTTTCCAAGGGAAATAATCAGTTAAATTACTGTGAATGGGGGAAAAACTATTTTACTTCCCCTTGAGCCTTATTATAAACGGCGGGCGTATTTGCGAGACACTAAGAAAATCTATGAAATACAAAAACCAACCTTCGACTGTTAAACCTGGACTGGATGTAAACTTGGACACGTCCACAATTTTGACAGCAAACTGTTGTCTTGTCTCCCTGTGTAGGCATCTTCTAACGACACTGAAGGGGCCTCTAGTGACAGGGAAACAAAGGGAAAACATTACATTTATAGTTACTTAAAAGGCTAGACAAAACTTTACATCTACAGTAATAAAGCAACAGAAAACATAACATCTACAGTATTAAGGCAACAGAAAACATTACATCTACAGTAATAAGGCAACAGAAAACATTACATCTACAGTAATAAGGCAACAGAAAACATTACATCTACAGTAATAAGGCAACAGAAAACATTACATCTACAGTAATAAGGCAACAGAAAACATTACATCTTCAGTAATAAGGCAACAGAAAACATTACATCTACAGTAATAAGGCAACAGAAAACATTACATCTAGTCAAAATGTAAACAGAAAATAATTTAAATACATGATAAAAAGACAAAATATATTACAACTATTTTTTAAATATATCTTTTATATAAATAATACATACAATATATGGCAAAAAAGTATAAAAATGCATTCAAGGATGCTTACAAGCTATAAAAAGATACACTACAATAAAATTACAAAATTTGTAAACTAAAACACAAATATAGGCCAGGACAGGTTAATACTATACATGATTTATTGTAAACAGATACAATAATGTGTGTGTTGTATGTGTGGGAAGAGAGTTGAGGGGGAGGGGATTGTCTGATACAGACAGGTCACTGGTGACTCGATTACTAGAGTCACCAGTCACCTGCCCATACAGCTCTCTTGACATGGTTGAATAAAGTAGACAAAGTAGGATATATTAATCAATACTAACAACATATAACAGCATACACACGTTATAACCTGTACCAAGACATTGCTACTGTCCCTACAGGCAAGGGACATTACTACTTGTTAACTTTCCTCTCCTACCACACACACACACTATTTGGGTCCTTATTAACCTGATTTTAAACCGTGCCCCCAACATACACACACACACACACATGCACTGGGTTGTTACCGTCCTTTTATCCCCACCCCCACCAGCAACCCTAATTTCAACAACCCCCTCCATTCTAAAATGACCCAATATAATTACCACCGCCACAATAAAAATATATAATTCGGAGTGTAGCCCAAATCATTATTAAACTCAATGAGCATGGACCTACCCCTTAAACAAAATAAACAAATCCTACACACATTGCTCCGTTAACCAGCATTTTCCTAGACAGGGTATTCTCATTTTGTTTTTCTTTTAAAGGCTTCAAAATATAATAAAAACATTTAACGCAACTTTTTTTTCTGCCTTAACGTCTTATTATTCCCGAGAGCACAATCCTCAAGTGATCTAACATTTCTTTAACTTACACAACATCTAACTCAATTGCTATACCCCATCATAAAAATCAAGTGATCTAACATTTCTTTAACTTACACAACATCTAACTCAATTGTTATATCCCATCATAAAAATCAAGACCCCGCCACGCACAAGTAATTCAAACGCACGGCATTCTCCACCACCCGTTAGATCACATGCGTACACAACTCCTACCATGCAAGAAGTGCTAACAAGTCCCTGGGGTATCTACTTTATACTTTATTACCCAGCCTAGAACTTGGCCAATTTTTTGCTATAAGAAGCCGAGGGAACTAAGGGAGGCGACTGAGACAATTTAGCTCACGGCTACATGCGAGTAGCTCAAATCAAATTGACTGTTATGGAATGTGCTACGGTACTAACGGGACTGTTTCCCCGGCTAAAAATAGCACCAGGGGGACGTGTGAGTGTTACATGGTGTTGTTCAGAGGACGTTTAGTGGTTTTCTCTTTAGTGGTTTTCTTTAGTGGTTTTCTTTTTAGTGGTTTTCTCTTTAGATGTTTTCTTTTTAGTGGTTTTCTCTTTAGTGGTTTTCTCTTTAGTGGGTTTCTTTTTAGTGGTTTTCTCTTTAGTGGGTTTCTCTTTAGTGGTTTTCTCTTTAGTGGGTTTCTTTTTAGTGGTTTTCTCTTTAGTGGTTTTTTCTTTAGTGGGTTTCTTTTTAGTGGTTTTCTCTTTAGTGGTTTTTTCTTTAGTGGGTTTCTTTTTAGTGGTTTTCTTTTTCTCTTTAGTGGTTTCCTTTTAGGTGGTTTTCTTTTTAGTGGTTTTCTTTTTAGTGGTTTTCTCTTTAGTGGTTTTCTTTTTAGTGGTTTTCTCTTTAGTGGTTTTCTTTTTAGTGGTTTTCTTTTTAGTGGTTTTTTCTTTAGTGGTTTTCTCTTTAGTGGTTTTCTTTTTAGTGTTTTTCTTTTTAGTGTTTTTCTTTTTAGTGTTTTTCTCTTTAGTGGTTTTTCTCTTTAGTGTTTTCTCTTTAGTGGTTTTCTATTTAGTGGTTTTCTTTTTAGTGGTTTTCTCTTTAGTGATTTTATTTTTAGTTGTTTTCTTTTTAGTGGTTTTCTCTTAAGTCTTGTGGCTCTCAATTGTACGGTACATACAGAATCTCTTTCATTCTCTCTTTCTGTCTCTCTCTCTCTCTCTATCTCCGTCTTTTTTTCTAAGATCTCTGTTCCACAAACATGTAGTCTAAACAATCATGATATCGACACGTATAATGCTATTTGAAAAAAAATCCGTCTAAATGGGCTTAGTCGTAATTATTAAAACTCATGTCACAATCATATTAATTAGTTTTGAAGGTTTATGCTAATTAATCTGGCCACTTGCCATACATTAACATATGTATACTTGCTAACGAGTCGAATCAGATTTGTATCACAGGTTAGTACAGTCAGTCACTGGTGACAGACAAAATACTAAGGAACATTGTATCAAAACCTAGTTCTTTTCTTCTCTTTCAACTACCACACACAAATACACCCCCAATACACACGAATACACCCCTTAACACATACAAATACACCCCCAAACACACACAAATACACATCTCAATACACACACACCCCTCAACACACACAAATACACCCCAGATACACACACATACACCCCCAACACACACAAATTCACCTCCAACACACACAAATACACCACCAACCACACAAATACACCCCAAACACACATATACACCCCCAACACACACAAATACACCCCAAAAACACACACAAATACACCCCCAACCACACAAATACACCCCAACACACACAAATACAGCCCCCCTCAAACCCCAATACATCCCCCCTAAACACCAATACACCCCAAACACACACAAATACACCCCCAAACACACACAAATACACCCCAAAAACACACAGAAATACACTCCCTATCGTTACTTGAAATTGAATAATTAAACAGAATGGTTAGAGCCACCATCTCCTCTGTGGCCGTTAAGTTACCATCAACCCACTACTGTTATCACCAGGGTAGGGTAGCCGTGGCCTTATTGCTTATTTCCTGGCGGGTTTAGTTTTTACTTTCTCGTATATACGAAGTATAGAGAAAGTATTGTAATCGTGCACAAAAATCACTTGAAATTTTAACAATTTTCACCGTATTACACCTCAGTCCTTCATCAGATCCGAAGTATAGAGGACTTATTTTAATCGGGCAAAAATTATCAATCCAGATTTATCAAAATTAAGAGGTTTTGTGCGTAATCCAGTCTGAAAAACTGGGCTTTGCAATTCTGTCCGTATGTCTGTGTGTGTGTGTGTGTCTGTCCGTGTGTAAACACGATAACTTGAGTACCGTTACAGCTAGGTTGATGAAATTTCATATATAAGTATTTTATCAAAATCGTAGATCCGTATCAACTTTTGAGCGATTTCCGATAACCGGAAGTGGTACTTTTTCTACTTTGAATTTTTCAAAAGCCTATAACTTGAGTACTATTTCAGATAGATAAATGAAATTTCACATGTAAGTAAAAGATCTAATTCACTACCTTCTGTTAAATTTTGAGTAATTTCCGTTGACCGGAAGTAGTAATTTACGCTACTTCCGATTTCTCAAAAAACTAATGTAAATTTTTAAAGTACTAATAATATTGCGCACTATTGTGCACTTTTTTTATTTTACGTTCACTTGGTGTGCAATTCTTTTGTCTACGAGATTTTATTCTATTTTTAAAACTTTAAGTATTTAAAATGGATTAAAAATCATGTCTATAACCCGAGTTCCAATCCCCTGTTGTTTTATATAAGAATATTCGAGAAAGTTTAGGGGAGATCATTCCCGGTTTATTTCTTAGTGTGGTCTTTCAAGGAACAACAGAACGCAATAGCAAGACAAACGTAGCGTGTTAAAAAATAAGGGTGATAATATTAGCTAGACATTGATAAAGTGTAAAGAAAACGGCGGAAATACAATAGCAAGAAGAATACAAAAGGTTATTTATATACCTTACACTTTGAAAAAAAAACTGAGGAAAGGGAGGGGGTGGGCGCTAACATATTTTAAGAAAGACGGTCAAAAGAAGTAAAGGGGGTAGGGTAGGGTTAATTTTTACTTTAACAAGACTGTCAAAACTAGTTGGGTGAGGGAGCTAAACTTATACTTTAGGAAAACGACCAAATGTGTGTGTGTGTGTGTGGAAGGGGGGGGGTCTATAACATCACATACGTGAGAGGCACGTCTTTTAAACAGAGCACTAAACTGTGCACTTCAGATTTTAAAAGTCAAGAACAGTTTCAACAGTTTAAAACGTCACTAAACTAAGTAACGTTTTATTCGATTTGTGGTGAAAAAAAAAGATCTTCCTTAAAATGGTAACATTTCTATATATTTTTTTTTTTGAATAAATAAAAGCATTGGAATGTTCTTTAAATATTAAGCACCAGTGGACTGGTAGGTTACTGCTTTCCAATGTGAAGTGACACTTTAAAACTAAAGTTGGGTTCGGTGTTTTGAAATATTCAAACAAACTGACATGAGAAATATAAGCTTCGGTCGTTTTCTTCCATACCATTTTATCTCTTCAAAAACAAAACAAATATAATTGTCAAAACATACGAGTAACGAAGTATATAAAAGATCTGTCAGCAAAGACAAGGTTATGTAAACAAGATAAGAAAACAGCCATAACGAAGGATATGAAAACAACAGCATGTCAGACTATAAATTTGATAAACATGATTATTTTTTAAATCTA